AGTAGAGGATGTCCACTTTTCGAATCGAATCAAATTGACCGAAAACTTAACCTATCCGGTCTCATGCCCTCAGCCCTATGTGTTGATGCACCCACGTTTAGGTTTCAATAAGGATGACAGTCTAAGCAAGGGATGTAAATGAATTAAGGTTAAATATTTAATCATCTTTTTATTAATATAAACAAGTTAAATATTTAATTTTCTTCTAATTCTTTTTAAAAGTAACTTAAATTAAAATAAAGCAATTCTGATTTTTGTACAAGGTAAATTATATTATTAGTTATAAATTTTGATTGTAATTTTGTTTTGACCATTACATTGTAACAAATTAGTTATAGCGCACGAACTAACATATCCCAGTGAATCAATGTTGTTCTTAGAGGTCACAGGTTCGAGCATCAGCGGCTGCAGCAGGGTGATTGAACGTTTATTATCAAATGATTAAAAATATTTAGAACATATATTACTTTATAATCACATTAACTTAATAAAAAATTTACAGTTATAGCAATAACATTAATGAATTTGTATTTTTAATCTCTGGATTGCTAACTGTTTAATCCGTTTTTGACGCGGCATTATATCTCTCTTTGCATAAATTTTAAAATGCTCTAACATTCGATACAATGATATGATAAAAAATTTAACTGATATTTTATATGAAAATACCGACCATTTTAAAAAATATATATAAAATAAATACACGAACTAATTTACCTCAGTGATTAAAGGAATTGTTGTTTTTCTTAGAGATTATAGTTCGAGCATAATTGACTAAAGATGGGCATGGGACCCTGAACCGACCCGATCAGATCGATTTCTTTTATAAAAAAAATCGGGTTCGGTCGGGTCGGGTCGGGTCGGATTTTTTTAAGTGTGAAGTTCGGGTTCGGGTTTAGGGTGAAAAATACCCGACCCGACTCGAAAAAATATATAATTTTATCTTATATATTTAGGAATAATTACAATAATACCCCTCTATATATAAAATTTTCAATTAAGTAATTGTTTTTTATTGAATAAAAATAATATTTTTTTATTATTTCGAGTCGGGTTTCTAAGTTATATGTCGGGTGAAATTTTGTTTTGGTTGGGTCGGGTCTCGGGTGGAGGATCCTTTGTTCTCGGGTCGGGTGGACCAAAAACCCGACCCGACCCCACACGACCCATGCCCATCCCTAAAATTGACTGTAGCAGGGTGATTGAGCGTTCATTGTCAAATGATTGAGAGTATTTAAAACATATACTACCTTATAATCACCTTAGCTTAATAAAAAATATATATATAAAAAAGAGAAATTATTTATGAGATTAATAATATACATTAATTTTATATTGAAAAAAAATGGATGATCTTGAAATTTAAAAAAAAATGATGTACATTTTAGAGGGAAAAGATGGTTTGGATTAAAGCATTAATCAATTTACCTCAGTGATTAAAAGAATTATTATTATTTTTAAAAGTTACGAGTTCAAACATCAACGATTTTAACAGGATAATTCAACGTTTATTATCAAATGGTTGAGAGTACTTAAAACATATTACATTGTAATCATATTAGCTTAATAAAAAATGATTTGGATTAAACTTTTAGGGTTTTTAGTCAATATAATTAGGCATGGTTGCTATCTTCATCCCGACACGTGTACGGCCGAGATTCATAGTTTTTCTTTTTCATGTCATTTGGTGGTATGATTCTTCGATCATTGAATGGTTGTTGCATTAGACACCAAATTAATATAAACTATGATGTAATAAAATATTGGTTTAATTGTGAATTGTATCCTTGTACTTTACAAAAAATTGAAACATTATCTTTTTACTTTAATTTATCAAAATCCAATTCACATATTTTCTAAAAAAACCTAGATAATACTCCGATTGGACAACACTCTTAAACATTGTCATTAAAGCATAGACCTATAAGTTAATCGTTTAACAATTTATATACAAGAAAATAATAAAAATTAACAAATTAATGGTTTAAATGAAACAAATTAACAAAAGTCAACAGTTCAAGTTATGTGTTTTCCAATAATTTGACAAACCTTTTAGTTTTCATAAAGTGCAAGGACTAAATTATGAGAAATTAAAGTGGATGGACTAACTTCTCAAATTTTTTAAAATAAGAGGATGAAATTCAGAATTTCACCAAGAAGTGTATAATAATGCAAATTTATGAGCCATTAATTTCATAGACCCAATGAATCGAACGGTGCCCCACTATTAATTTTTTTTTAGTTGCCTCTTGGTTCTTTGCCCTAACTAATTTAGACCGACTTACGTCGCACATCTGATTTTGGTAGGTGAGCCTTTCAGCAGGAATTTTTTACATACACAATTACTCAAATTTGAAACATTATTTTAACGGAATCAAACTACTTACCACTTGAATTAACTCATGATTCTTAAGCCAAGAATTAAAAGAACAAAATGTTGTGGCGCATGTCGGTGAGATAAAGGTGGTGGGCCGTTGGCCGGTGGTTGAAACCACCTCTTTCCTTTGGCTAAATTTGGAAGCACGCCTAAGTTGAAACAAGAAAATCCAGAAAACTCTCACACCCTTCAAGTTCATAGATGGATATGGCGAGCGACCATTCTCTTAACCTATTAGGAAGAAAGAATGTGTTAGCAAGATACCTAAATTTGATTACCTCTTCAGTTTATGTAACAAAAATTCGATCGAGAACAAGTCCGGAAGCATCGATGTCTTCTTTCGGTTCGTTCGAGGGTCTCGAGAAACCATCGTAGCTAGATATGTTGTTACCCTAATGAGAGCCGGTAAAGCCGAGAGAGATGAGATTCGTGAACGTCTTTGTTTTGCTCGTTGCAGTTCGGCTTCATTCATCCAATCCGAGAGCCTCAACGGACCTTTGTAACCGTAATATATATGTTATGGCTATCAGAGCCACTATGATGACGATAAACAAAAGCACACGCTTGATGGTGGCAACAAATTTCTGTCGGAAATAGTAAACAAGAATTGAAGTTTTTAAGCAAAGAACAGTGACTAGGAACTGCCTCCGCCATGGCAATTATCTCAGCAACATATTACTCGATAAAAGGAACGGGGAAATGTGGGTTTCACACATGCAAATGCAGAATTCCTTGTTGCACTTATCGGGCATTTATCAACATGGCATATTTCAGCGTACAGTTGGGAAGCTTTCTGCATCACAAGTTTCCAAAGTTTTAGTATGTATCTCAATTATAACAAGACAACGGAAAACAATCCAAGAATTGAAAAGGCAATCGCAACAGAGAGAGCAAGAGTATATCAATAAACTACCTATGGCAAGGGCCTCCACATGAGCGAGCAGCCACTTGGTCCTTCTCAGATAAATTGTTATAATAGATGCACTCAAATGCATGGACCATTGCACCACATGAGCGAGCAGCCATTTTATATAGGTTCTGCTGAGTCAGATGTCACGCTGGTATTTATTTTAATAATAAAGATTTTATTTTTATTATTATTATAAATAATTAATATATTATGTAAAGTGTTTCGATTATAATTTAAGGATTATCGAATATATTTTTTATATGTGTGTTCAAGGTGGAGCGAAATTAGGTTTTAGTATTATATGTTTCAAGGATTTTGACATTCACCCATTCCACGCGACATTAATCGGATGAAATAATAGATGAAAACTAGGTTTGATCTTATTGTAGTTATAGAAAAAATGTATGAAATTATAATATTACACGTATTGTTATATATTATTATTATTTTTTATTATCGATCTATTAATTTTATCAATTAATTATTTAAATGTTATCAATCTAGTCATTTGTTATCAATATTTAAAGAAAATATTGATGCATAAGTTAATTAAATTAGAATAATTACACATTTAATCTTCAATAGTTACATATTTTATCAATTTAGTCTTACTTTTAATTTGTTTAATTTAACATTTTTTCTCTGCTTAGAAGGTGAAATTATTATAATATTTTAAAATTAATAATTAATTTTTTATAATAAATAATATTAATTATTTTTTTAAATAAATATCATAAAATAGTTTTTAAATAAAAATTAAAAAAATTATTTAGGTGTACATACATTGAGAAATTATAGAAAATGCAATTACATTTAAATATTAGAAACAAAAACATTCATTTAAATAGAATATTAATTACATAAGGGTTAACGGTTATGTGATGATAACAGAGCTAGACATTTTTTTCTATTGTGTCTGATGTTTCTACAATGTCCACATCGTTTTTGTTCTGTTGACTTCTCACGAATATCCATATCACAATGTATTCTAGTAGATTTTGGACGACATGAGTCCCTCAAAAGCAATGAATTTGGTACAATTGTAAGTCAAGTTTGAATCTCATCAGGGTCTATTTCGTTTCTAATTGGCGGAAACTCAAATTCATATACCTTGAATACTTGTGAAAGTTGGTATACGGGATCAACATAATTTTTGTAGTCCAAATGCGAATGTGAGCAAGCTGCAATAACATGAGAACATGGATATTTGAGTGCTTGAAAGAAATCACAATCACACCACTTCTCTTGCAGATTAACTCTGAAAGGGTTAGTTTCAATCCCTTACAGCGGACGATTAATAGAGGGCATTTATGACATTTAATGGAAGACACGTCACCGGGAATACGCCTTCCACACGTAGCAGCTGAGTCATCAGAATCTCGTGAAAGCGTGTCCCCGAGAACGCGCCTTTATGCCACCTCAACCAATGAGTGCTATTTCGGGAAATAATGATCAACGTGTGTTAAATTGGGAATGTTAGGGACAAAATGTGTATGTTAAGTAAATGCGCCGTCGTTATCCCTCTGCATTTCTATTCTAGTGGGGTCCGTACTACTAAGGAAAATACTATATAAAAAAATTACGTGGGTATCTAAACAATCAATCAAAACAACGGATCTCAAACTGGGTAATAATCTGTATTGCATAAATCATCTTCACGTCCGCTCGTATTTTCTTCCTTCGTATATAAAGACCATTCTATTTCTATCTCTCTAATAATTTCCTCTCTCAGTCTCTCTATCTCTAAAAAACCAACGCTTTTAATTCTAATAATTTGGATAAGAGAATTAACGAATTAAAAACGTTAGATTCCTTCGTAAATTGAAGAAATTTCGAAAGAAATTGATTTTAAGAGGTTTTTTTTGGGGGGAAATCCGTGGTTTAAAAATATCAACAATGGCCGATTCGGGAAACAGAGAATTTGTTGATGACAATCGTGCGGATCAAAATGGTGACGAATTGTTCGATTCATCGCGTGAGGGAGTTGGATCTGGAACAGGCACGAGGCAAAACGATGAGATAAGTAACGGAATCGGACTCGCGGAACGATTGACTGACATATTCGTTGATGAAAACGACGGGGATTTGTTGCTTCAACAGAGCGATAGAGAGGATAGGGTTCTTCAATGGTTACAAGCTTTAGATATGCAATTAATCGGCGCCTGTCGAACCGATGAGAGGCTAAAGCCTTTGTTGAAAGTCAACGTTTCAAACGGCATCGCTGAGGATCGATTGTTAGCTCATTTGAGTCAGGTGCTTTTTGATAAGTTGGAATTTCAATTGACATATATTTATTTATTTATTTATACATATATTATATTTTATTTTTATTTTTAATTTTTTAATTGTCGGAGATATTCGATGAAAGCTGCTTTCAACATGAATTTGTGTACTACCCTACCTCCCTTACCCCCGTTATATATTATATACATGAATTTGTGTACTACCCTACCTCCCTTACCCCCGTTATATATTATATATGAGAATATGATTTTGTTGTTGTTGTTGTTGTTGTTGTTTTTAGTTTTTGTGTGTGTATAACTTCATTTGTTTCCATGAAATTTGCAGCACTTTGAGCCATCGGAAGTTGGTATGCTGGCGAGGTGTTTCTGCATACCTTTGGTTTCAGTTCGAGTAGGGAAGATAAACAAACAAGGAACTCGTTTTCACCCTTGTGCTGTAAGGTAATTCAATTTTTATTGATTTGTGGTCTCTAATTTATCATAGATTCGTATTCCCTGGATCTATCATTCGTATTCATTTGCAATGGTAATTAATCTCTGGAAACTTGCCAGTTTTGGTTGATTTTCTTTCTTTCTTTCTTTTGTTAAATTTGGAATTATCAAATTAGGTAAAAGTGATGAATGGTTTTCAATGTTATAGTTATAATTGAGATCAGAAGTGAACATTTATTCTGTTAGATCCATTAATTCATCCATACTCATTAGCGTGTCATTAATGGCTTTCCTATTTATTTGGTCTTTCTTACGCTTGGTTGCGTATAGTATTCTTGCCAAATTTTCTAGTACAATTCTTAATTTTACTACCTGTAAGTTTGTATGCCATGTATTTTTGTATGATTATATGTGCTAGAATTTCCAAGTGACTTGTTTCAAATACAAATCTCTTGATCTTTGGACTTGGTCATTGATATGTTATTGTACTCTATATATCTTAGTTGTATTGCATGCTTTTCATTTATTTACTTTTCGACTGATAATTCTAGGTAGCATTTATTGTTTTAACATTGAAAGACATTCTTGTTTATTTTGGCATTATGTTTAGTCTATAGTGGATTGGTTTTCACGATTTTCTAGATTGCTGCATCACTTCCAGTGATTTCGGCATAGTTTTGCTTGCATGACTGATTGACTGTTTCTGTAAAATATCCTATATCTAGATCCCTAGTCCTATATTACAAGTTGTCTCAATAGTGCTTTGATTTAGCAACTACTTTAATTGATTTCCTCGATTGGAATCTTTCCTTTGGTAGCAGGATTACCCTAGAATATAATTTGAATGGAAGCTTTTTAAATTAGTTGTTAATAGTTAATAAAAGTTTCAGGGTTCTATTTTAGTTTGTTATTGGCCATCATGTTCATGCTTCCAAATAAATATACCTTTTGACTTGTAGGTAAAGTGGGTGTATTCTGTAATGATCTCTGAATTATGAGGAAGTAAAGGTAGTTTCATCTTGAGAATATATAGGGTTGAATTTAGTAAAATCAATTTTAAGTAGGATCGAGTGCTAGTTACATTTTGTGTGAATTATAGTTATGATGTTTTCTCAGTGTCAGTCGTCTTCGCTTTTGATGTGATTTGTTGAAATTTGAACTGTTTACTTTCCTTGATACATTCTATCATATTGTGTTTGGTCTTTTGCTGTATGATACCTTATCATTGTGTTTGGTATTTTATTTTGGTCGTTAAGGACCGATTTCTGGAAGGTTATTTATGATAATATCTTGTTGCTGTTCAGTTTGTCTATGTTTATGTAAAAATAGTTGTGTAAGGCATGTCACAGGATTTGTTTGTTTTAGAATCAGGAAGACTATTATGGGAAAGTATATAAAATGTAATGACTGGCCTTCAGAATCAGAAAGGCTTGTCACAGCTTGCTACGTGTAAGGTGTTAGGTAATAGACTTGATATTTATGCTTAAACTGGATTTTTTTTGGATGGACTACTTATTTATTTATAAGAAATAAGCAAAAGTTTGCTATATATGAAAGAAGACAATGGTCCCACCTGTTAATTGCAAAACCATACAGGTTCCAATCTCCCGGTTAACAGTCATTAAGGTATTTAATTGGTCTGAAACTTTCTAAAAGAAGGCGGTATAAATCTATTTGTATTGGTAATCAATCTGTAACTTGATTTTTCTCTTGGTGTTTATGATTATAACTGTTGATTTTTTTACCTTGTCTAAAATATTTCCTGAAACCTCTTGAATTTATGCAGGGGAAATTTGATTCTTACACTCTTGCCTACATCGGACTTGCGCCTTTCATTTGTTGGGGATGACGGTCAAACTGAGAGACTGTTCATCGTAAGTGATGAATATCAGTGTGCTGCTGTTTCCATCGATGAGATCCCAGCAGACCATTCTGGACGATCTTTCCTTGTGAAGATCCCAGATGGCAAAACTTTTTACTATTGGTGCTCAGAGAAATCAAATCTCCTGGGGACTGAATTGCTCTCAAAGGTGGTTTTCTCGTTAGTAGCTTCCCTATGCATATTGACTATGTTTCTCATACTCATCATTTTTCTGAAATACCTATTTCAAATATCCAGACATGAGCATGAAGATACGGCTCTCCAAGGGGCCTTCTAAAAGCATGAAATTTAATATGCTCGTGTCGGATATATACTCATTCAATAATATCAATCAAATCCAAGTAACATTGTGCAAAGAATTGCGGTACCTACAAAGAAGTTTAGAATTCTCTTTAATTCTACTTATTATTCACATCAGTTTAGCATCTCCCAAGTTATTTTTGTAACTCTCTGATACTCACAGTAATGGATTTTGTTTTTGAAATGATTGCCAAATAATATTTATGTTCTTTTCATGATAGATGAAGGATTTGATAAAAAGAAAACCATCAATTGCTGAATTGACTGGAATCAGCGAGTCACGACTTGGCTGCTTTGTAACTCAGCTTAGAGCCTATCTTGTTGGATCAACAATGAGTAGTACACAAGCAAGTTATTCAGGTCAACCTTCACCTGATTCCGTGCTCAACCCCATCGATGTGCACAGTGGACAATCTTCATCAACAACATCAAAATCTTTGCGATCACGGAACACTAGCAGTCAAGTACTCAAGGTGAATGCACTTTATCAAGGTAGTTTAAGTCCAAGATCAAGTTCTTTCAAAGAGGGTTTGACCCGAAACTTTTCTTCCTTGAGGAGCAATGCCAGGGAGAAATTACGACGGCGAGGAGAAAATCATCTTTCAGTAAGTGAGAGCCTTGCAATTACTTCACCTATTACTAATGGTCCCTCTGATGGTGGCAACCAATGTCAAAATGATAAGCTTCCGAATGTCAAGAGTTGTCCGTTCCTTCCGAACTTCCTTGAATCCCTAGGAAAATTTTCCGTACCACCAGCTTTGACCTCTGTATCTGAAGTTTCTTCTTTAGGATCTCCTGTCTTTTCACCTTATTATTGTTGGTGCCCCTCAGGATCATCGACTCTGCAACACTCGGCTGTTTCTGAATTCCCAACCTCATCAATCGAGTCTATGAAGCTTCCACCACTTTCTTCAATATTGCCAATGAATAGTTCTTCCAGCTTGTTGAACCCAGCATCGCTTCTCGATCTGGCCGATATCCCTTCATTGGATTTTCCAGCTTTCCTCCCTGAGCCTTTGGTCCGACTGCCAATGGCAAGTTCACAACAAATTCCAACCTTCACACCTTTGATCTGTGATCCCATTGTTCATATTCCGGTCATTGGCGTTTGCTCTTCAGGAGGACAAGGTTACTTGGTTAGCGCCGGCTCCTCCCTTTCAACAACAATCCCACAGTTACATCCACAACTCGTGAACACTGAATCCGTGGTCGAGAAGGGTGCCAGAGAAACTCTTCGGCTGCTTATCAGTGGTTCAACACAGAGTAACCCTCCATTGATCGATGTATTTCCAGCAGTTCTAACTAGTGCCGACGAGAAAAAAGGTATCTTTGTTGCCGGAAGCCGTAGTCTGTACAGTGGAACTAGAGACGTTAACGCCATTGCCGAAGGCATTGCGGCCGTGAGTTTGATTACACTTTCTTCCAGCTCCATGGTAGATAGTATTATAAAACGATGTAGCAGCAGCAATATCTGTGACGATCCTGATGCAAATAAGCTGATGGAATCTAGCGGCTCGGATGAATCGTGTTCGAATAGTGATGGTGCTAAACTTTCAGGCTTAAGACAAGAAGGTATTGATTAAATAATGAATGTTCTGTTTCTTTTGTTCTTTGAAAATGAATAATTGTAGATAAATGTATCTGCAGTTTTGTCATAATTTAATTGTAATTAAATCCCAATCATTTACCATTTATATTTTGATCATTGCAGTTTTTAGGATTTATAACACGGTCATTAAATTTTTAATTTGTTTTCATTAAGATCATTATCGTCTGTCGTCGTTAAGAAATATTAACATAGGACGTTAGAGTCGTATTCTTCAAAAGAAAATATTTTTTCTTTAAATTTACTGTCGTCTTTTTTCACTTATTTAGAGGTTTTTCTGATCGAAAAGATCATCGACCAGTTCTCTTTTTAATTTAATTTCGTCAAGAAAGGCCATTGCAATTATATCATGAAGCATGAAATAAACAACATTAATAGATAAACCTGCAAACCATCAATAGTGAAGATTAGATGAAAATTAAGGCCTGTAACCAATTGCAGCTATCCATGTTGAACCAGGTGCCACTGCTCGTATTTCATGTACCAACGTGAACATTTACAAGGATCAAAATGTGTCCAAACTGAAGCATAAAAGTAAAGCATAATTTTTTTTTCAAGGAAACTACTCTAGCATCACTGTCATTAGCCCAACTACTAAAAGGTTGGTACATGAGTGTATTCATGTTCTCTGGTTCTTCCATGAATTTGCAAAAGCACTTTTACTTTCATTTAGTGAAGTCATTCTAAAACTATAACAGTATAAATATTTATAACTAAATTTAAACAAAAAATTGAACAATTCAATTTAAAAATTAGAGTTATAAAATAAAACTCTTCAACTCGACTAAATGGAATACTAACCTCTCGACTTAGGAAGAAGATAATATATTTATATACTATTTACCAAGGTGTGAGAACAAAGTTGCGCTTGTAGCCCAGTGGATAGAGCGTCTGTTTCCTAAGCAGAAGGTCGTAGGTTCGACCCCTATCTGGCGCGGAATCCTTAATAAATTAGAAGGATATAAAGTCTGCTTTTTTTTTTTTCAGTTTTAAACCGTTACAGATTTAAAATACTATTAATCCAAAAACTTTAAAAGGATAAACTTATATATATTATTATCTAAACTCATAAATATATCTTAACATATAATATATAATTACATTTATCAACTTTTAAACTTATTTTTAAATGTTTCAATGGATATTGCTCTTTAAGATAAAATTGAAATTTATAAATCAATCATACATAAATGGTTTTAATAATATTTTCTTGAAAAATATATATATATTCTCTCTCAATTATTTATTTTCATAATATTTTATCTTGAGATATTGTTTATCTATAAGTTTCAAAAATTCAAATTAAAATAAAAGTGTAATCCAAGATTAATATAAAATATAATTCAATATTTATTAGATTTTATCTATTCATTTTTTTCGTTTTATTATAATGATAAAAATAATTTCATATATTTAAACAAAAAATAATTTTAAGAATAAGATGTTTCATCTTCATAAAATAATTGTTTAAATTGCAATTAAAGATGAGCATAAGTTGTACATATTTTTATTGAACTTTATTCTTTAAATTAATAATTAATGGAAATGACGAAAATGGATTAGAAAAGAAATTAAACTTAAAATAAATAAAAATATTATATTGAACTAAAGTTGAGGGGTTAAATTCTAAATTGCCGCATAGTAAATGGACTAGAAAAATAATTAGACCTTGAATAAGTATCGAGGAAAACTATAAAAGGAACTTCTAACCCAACATTTTCACGTATTTCCTAGTGTAACAAACTCGCGCTGATCTAAAAACGAACCCAAGTTTCAACTCAGTCGGAAATGACGAACTCACTCCCCAATGTCCCAGGTCGACTCACCGAGTAAGCTCTTTTCTTTCTTCTTTCTTTCTTTCTCTCTATTTGCTCTCTTTTTTTTTCATTTAATCTAAATATTTTCATTACTTTCCGTTTTCAGATTAAAGAAGCAACTCCTCGACTCGGTCTTGAAAACACCATATTCTACTCAAGAAACGTCAAGAGTCTCAACAAGATCAGCGCTCGAATCTCTTCTTTCACCAGATTCATATATGGATAGATTCGTCTTAGCTTGCGCATTGCTATCATCTTCTCGCTCCTCCACTCACGAGCTTCTCACATGGATACCGGACCACCTTTCGACCGCCGCAGAAACTGCCTTTTCCGACCTCACGAAAGCTTGCGACGCCGTCGCTTGGTTTGGCGAGAAGCAAAAATTGGTAGTCCAATTATTTCCAGTAATCGTTCCGGTTTTGAATGACACTATTAAAAAGAGCTCGATTGACAAGAGTGATGAAACTGATGAATTTTCCGCCGCTTCGACTAGGGCCATTTTGGCTGCTAATCAATTTAGATGGTTTGTTTGTCAGGTATCTCATATTTTTCTCAGAAGTAGATTTTTCATTTTTCTTCTTCTTTTATTTAAAAAGAAAATTAATATTTATAATCTTTCTCTGTTTGTAGATTGAGTATCCGGATTTGGATAAAATGATGAATTTTGTTATTCATTGTGCTTTAACATGTCTTGATCACTGGTCTCCGGAGGTGAAAGTAAGCACTTTGTAATTTTAATATTTTTATTATAAATTCTTGAGATTAAGAATTATATTCCTTCTTTTTGTTGTCATTGATTATGTTTAGGGGCAGGGGATGATTAGCTTCATACATGCAGCGAAAAATGTGAATGCAGGGGCGTTTGATTTGTATGGAGACATGATTCTTGGTGCCTGCTGCCAAAACATTGCTTCGACTGATGCTATATGGCAGTACGTCGTAGAGATGTCGGTGTTACTTGTTACTTGCATTCACAGAGATAATCCCCGTAGTCTGTGGTATACATCTTTTCTTCATTTCTTTAGCATTTTGATAATTTGATTGTGCTTATTAACTAAGTTTAGTATGCTCTTGTGGTACAAGATAAACCCTTTAGCTCTTGTGTTTGTTAACCAAGTTTAGTTTGCTGTAGAATTGTTTTCTTTGTCTCTTTAATATCTTGGTTGTGTTTGTTAACTAAGTATGTTTTTACCACTTGTCTTCTTACCTCTTAAGCATCTGGATTGTGTTTTTTGATTAGATTTTGTATGTTCTTATGATGCAAGATAATCCCTGTATCTAGTGGTATTCCTGTTTCCTTTGTCTCCTCAGCTTCTTTATTGTTTTTGTTAAATAAGTTCCGCAAGCTCTTATTATGTTACATTTCATGTTTACATAATTTTAAGGTAAAAGAAATTTGTCCGTAATTATGTTGTAACTAATAATGTGGACTCAAACTTCTTAGTCAGCAAATTAGGGATAATTTTATGATTATCAATGGACCAACGGATTGCAAGAAGCCATATGCTTGGTCCTTGGCATAAAGTTCATTTAGCATGTTGCCTCTCTGCCCTTTGTTAGTAATGATGATTTTGAATCATTTTATAGTTGTTTCTTGACATTTTATCTGGTTTTACTTTGTTCATTTCATAGACATGTACTTGATAGTTTTGTTCATTTAGCATGTTCTTTCATTTGCTTTTTACATAGGTTTCAGAAGATCCTGACCGAGATGCTGATCCATTTGGAGCGACAACCCTGGAATAGAGAGCGACGAATTGTGTGGCTTACGTTGATTGATCCAATCTTTAATTCTATGCGCCTTTTGTTAGTAGCCTATAGTGAGCTTATTTTCCCACTACTCTTCCAGTGGTTGCATGTTGATGATGATGAAACAGTTCTACTGGTAAGATTATTGCGTCAAATTTCAGAAACCTGGGTAACATAAATGAATCAATCTATTAAAATCTCATTGTTCTGCAGGCTCTCAAACGACTTCATACGATTGTCCGGCTAACATGGCTAGTGAAGTCACCATACCTTGAAAAGTAAACTAAGTACATATACCTTGGGGTTTGCATTTGATTTATAGTTAGGTGGTTGTATTGTTCAATGGAACAGAACATTGTTTTGTTTCATAATGATTGAAGTCTTTATGTGAATGTTAATAAGTCCTATAAGCTTGCTCTGATTCTTCGTCTGTGGTTGTTTCTATTGAAACCTGTTATTGTCATCTTCCTTCGACTTGCTGTTCATACTAAAATCTAGTAAAAGGATTCTATAAATTAACCAATCTCTGTGAATTGTTCAGTAGACTTTACTTCCTTATTTCTTTCTCCGTGGTTTTCTATCTTGAAAATATTATTCAGATTGGTAAAGGAACTTGCTGTATCATACAAAAAAACAACACTGAGAAAGGCACGTGAAGAAATCCGAACCAGTATTCTTAATCTACTGATCATGCTTCAGCAGTAAGTCACAGTCGAAATCCGTTAGGCATTTTCTAAAAATCCTCTTTTTTCTTTGGCCCTAATCCTTTTTTTTTAATATCTATCTGCTCGCAGATACAAAGGTATACAGTTTGATAGAGCCTGGATCAAGCACAGGGATGATCCTTACTTGACCACCCTTGATCATAATCTATCGGTGAGCAGAGATTATTACCTCATGAGCAACCGTCCAGAGTTTTTTCAGCCGTTGAGAATTGACGGTATCAAGACTAAAGAGGGAAGTAAACTAAAGGCAGAGGAGACAGAATCGAAGCCGGGGAAAATGAAAATAGATGATTAAGCTCGAGCCGATGTCGGAAATGATGCCGGAGCCTAGAATATCAAAATGAAAACGGAAATGTTCAGAATATCAAAATGAAAACGGAAATGCTCATGAGGTAGTAATCTCTGCTCACGGATAGATATCAAAATAGAAATTGCTGAAACTAGACTCAATAGAATCAAAGAAAGAGGCTTGTACATTCCATTTTTATGTAGATCTCTAGTCAGTGATTAAGATTTAGGATGTGAAGATTATAGAGAATGGTAGGTTTAATGATGACATGCTTAATGATAACATGTCATGCATGGAAACTCTGAGATGAGGAGATACAAACAATAGTTTTTCGATAGTCTGTGAATGGAAATTATGGATTCTGTCACTCTCACATTGCATGATCGTCATGATGACATGGTCATCATACTTCTTATACGAATCGGTAGCCTTAATGATATCATGCTTAGTAATAACATGCATACGTGAGATCTTTGAGATAAGCAAAACAATTATTGATTCTTATCATCCTCACATTGCATGACCATCATGATTGATCATGATCTTCATACATGCATGATTCCATGCATAAAAAGGCTTAATTAACACATTAAACAATACAATTGTATCTTCATGAAAGAATTGTATAAAGACCAATTCTACAACCTGTTTTCTTGAAAGAATGAACATAAAGTGGTATTTCCTCTAATTTTCTTTCACTAAAATCCCAAAGCTATTGCTGATACAAAAGAAAAACCAGTTTCCCATACTTCTAGGGGTAAATGAATATCTATGGCGCAAAATCGCAGCATCATATGCCTACCATATGACTGAAACTTTGCCTCTAAACATTGTCGACGTCATTGCACTAAAGGAACCAACATATATGACTATCATGCACGTAAACGGTGTCTCATTTGCTTCGTTTCTTGGCTTCACTATAGAGTATAACCCCGAAAACTGTGAGTGTATATCCGAGCATTCCGGTAACAGAGACTGGATTTCTAAAAATTAGAATTGAAACCACCACAGCTACAGCTCCTTTTGCATTTCCTAGAACCTGCAGGACCAAACATCTTAGTACCCATACTGTGCATCGGTTATTCCTATGAAAACTTGATAAAGAAGCAACACTCATAGGAACTAATTCGGTTACATAAACAGCTAAAAGATGGGTTATTCATAATTTTACGAGTACAAAGAAATCAAAACCTTCACAATTACTTTCTTGATCGATAAGTAACCCTTGTAATAACCGTGCTGGTAATAAGCAACTAAAAGATGGATGCTATCATATGATCATCAAAGTTAGATTATTGTTCGAATGATCGAAAAAGGTGTACTTGTGTTAATGTAATTCCGTATAAAAGATCTAAAGAATCCATCTTCATTTCCGGAAGACAAGATGCAAACTAAACGTACTAAACTCATAAAATGCCGATGCGTAGCGTACCTGCAAAGTTAGGGCGCTGGTGTGTTTTGTGACCAGAAAGTTGGTCAAATTCACAAAATACGCTAGCGCTGAATTGAATAGTAGATACCAAATGATCTTGACATCGTCACGGGCAAGAGCAAGGGTGATACCAACCACATTCTCCTCCATAATGAGTGTTGCCGGAAGTAGAAATACAACAGCTATCGGAGCCATGTAGAGGAGGAGGTTCATGGAATTCAGCTTCTCTCTAAAATAAAATTACAACAAATTTTCAGCGCCAGTTTCTAGTCTCTGAATTAAAGCGAAAATATTGAAAATTATGCCATCAACCATAGAAGCAGAAGCAGAAGCAAAGCAAAAATCTCCTCACCCTTCGGACGAAAGCAAAATTCCTTGTAAAACTGACTTGAGAGCTCGTGCAGCTGTAGCCGAAATGCACATGATAAACCCGAACAGATGGAAACTTGGTTCACCCTTTGGCCGTTGAACAAATGATGCAAAACAAAAATAAGAACCAGAAAGCAAATTAAGTGAAACAAAACAATGTGAATAGTGCAGAACATGATTAAAATTGACAAAATTTAAACAAAATTGAAGGTTTTCAAATCAATAAAAGGGGCATATTCCAGCTATATTTCTCCGATTCTTCATTTTAGAAGCATCAATGTCCACCATCCTCTACCGACCTTCACGAAAACTTTATAAAAAAACGAGCGTCACTTGTCGTACATATACCCATGCCCAACACTTAGACTATGCACTTCTTATTTCTTAATGCTACAATCAAAACATATCCAAAATGTGAAATGCATGAGCAAATGAGGAAATAGCATATACAAAGAATCATTGATGAACCATTCGAAACCAAGAGAACAGAAAAGCTAATCCACAAATCATGGTCATTACCATTGAAAAACATCCAAATTGAGCTAAAACAATTAGTTATTTTCACACTAAATTACTCGGACTCCGGTGTGAGTCGGATATAAGAATGTATTCGAATACCGGTATGGTTAGATTTAAAAACAAACAAACAAAAATGAAGCAAAACCAAATGCCAAATTCCAATCAAATCTTCACGAAATCCCTCAAAAATCTATCGTTCAGACAAAAGCATAAGCAACATATATTTAAACAAAATGAAGCAAGACCAAGTCCGAAACTTTACACTAAAAGATTGATTAAAAATAGGAACAAAATGCATACCCCACTGGCAAAGATCACCCCAGTAACAACAGGAACAAGAGTAATATAAGTAAGCCAAGCTTCCCTCTTCAATGTCACCAAGTAAGCGAAGACGGCAGTGAAGAACGGCGTCGTAGCACCGACAGCCTGATTAAAACTAACCGGCAAATACCTCAAAGAGATGTTCCCAAACACCACCGACACACAAAACACTAAACTCAAAGCCGAGATCTTGAAGAACTGAACCCTGGATCGAATCGTTTGCATTGGGACCATCTTCATCCATGCAATCCCTATGTAGCTTAACAAAGAACAAGCCGTCATGTGACACATGGTTAAGAAGATTGGGTATTTGAAGCCGTAATTGCTTAGCAAATACTTGTTTAACAACAATACACCTATGTTAGACGAGTACCAGGCTGATACTAGCCCGATCGTGAATAATTTCGATTGGTTTTTCATTGAGTTTTCTTTTTTTGGAGGGGTTTTGAAGATTTGGGTATCTTAATTTGGGCGATAGAAAAACTGGGTGTTGAGTGGAAATGGAATTTGGGGGCTATAAGAAGGTGGATCTGAGTGGAGTTTGGGGAATTATGGGTGTCTTAGATGTGGAAAATGGGGTTTCTAAATATGATTTGATGAAATTATCTTTCATGGATCTGATTAAAGTTTCTCATTACTAGCAATGAATCCCAAAGAGAAGAAAAAATTAAAAAAATAAATTAAGAAAATGAAAAGGAAGAAGTAAAGCTTTAACGTTATGATAATATCTATGGCTGCCTCTCTGCAAATTTCTCTGAGAAAACGAGAGAAGCTAAATTTTAAAATAGATGAAGTAAACGCGTTTTTGTTATTTATTTATGGGTAAAGTACATAAATGGTCCCTAATTATAAGGTGATATTTTATTGAGTCATTTGATTAATAGAAGAATTTAACATATATTTAATTTCTATTATTCAGTGCCATCGTCTTAAGTCACTATAAATAACTCATATTGTCTTTGTGTGTAGGGGTGTAAACGAGCCGAGCCGAGTCGAGTTTGAGTATTGCTGAGCTCAATTCAAAAACTCTGAAACGAGTCGACTCGACTTGAAAACTCGCGAGCTTAAAATTTTTAAGGTCGACTCGAAATCCTGAACTAAAGCTCGTGAGCAGCTCAAAATGAAAAAAAATCTTAAACTTAACTAGATTGAAGCCTCAAACTCGAACCTGAATCTTAAATATATATAAGTCTTACTGTATTTTTTAAAAAACAATCAACAGATAAATGTTAATATTATTAATAATTTATTTTTTAAAAAATAAAATCTTAATATATTATATTTTCGAGCTGCTCACGAGCTTTTCGAGTTGAGTATCAAGCAGCTCGTTTTGGCTCGTTAAGAATTCGAGTCGAGTTCATTCGATCCGAGTATTTATCAAGCCTTGACCGAGTCGATCGTCGATCTCGAGTAGCTTGCGATCTGTCTCGTCTTATTTACAACCTTATTTTTGTGACATGATTTAAGGTTGCAATTATAATATTTAAAAGAATATAGGGACTGAAACAATTGAAACTAAAATATAGGAACTAAATCTATAATTTATATATGGTATAAGGACTAACGAAAATTTTTGACATATTATTTATTTGGGTTTTATTCTAGCGTCCTTAATTTAATTTAATTTTTGTTTGTGTTCAATTGAAAAGTCAATGCTATTAGTGGGAAATGCATGGTATAAGGAAATGGACTTTGAACAAGTTTGAGAAATTTCTTAGAAAGACATTTCCTTTTTAATATTATTTTAATTATCGATTATAAGATAATATTTATCTATAATTTTATTTAATCATTAATAATATATTTGACAGACATAATTATTTAAATTCAGAATATAAAAGTCTTTTTAATTATTGATATCATTTAATTGATTTTTTTTAAATATTGTTTATTAATTTTTTTAAGCGTTAGGAATCACTTATTATTTAATCCAATTACACCACGTAAATAAAAAGTAATATTTTTTTAAATACAATCATTATAAATTGATTTATTATTTAATTAGTTTAAGATATTACAATGTTACAGATCTCAGAAGTATTTATGATAATACTTTGATATTTATATATTAATTTTATATGTCATCTGATGAATTTATTGTCTCTATATATATATTTAATTACACTTGATAAAACTTAATATTTTATAAACATTTTTATATTATTGAATGAGTGAGAATATACGATTGAGATTAATTATTTTTATATTAAATATAAATTATTTTTTATTTATATATTTTTTAATTTTTATTGTTAATCTTATTATTCAAAAAATAAATAAAACTTTCAAAATTTTATATATATATATATATATATATATATATATATATATATATATATATATATATACGTGGATGGTAGTTGTAAAGCCTGCTTAATGAGACCAAGTCAGATATTTATTTAGACTGCCCACGTGCATGCATGTCATTTACTTGAAAGTCAAACTTTTGAGAAAACAATTAAACCATTTCATACATGACATGAGGTGCACCTTTACTTAACTATGTAAGATTAATAGTGAGAATAAAAAATTATAAGAGAATAAGATTACTGAAAATGTTATATTTTGTGTTTAGTTGGTTTAGCAAGAATGTAAGATTACCGTGTTTGATTAAAGAAATAAAATATTATTAGAATGTATATTTGATCAAATTGTCCTTATTATATATTTGTATAATATTACAAGTTGAAAAATATTTATATATTTTTTTAAAAAAAAATTAAATTCATAAAATTTATATAAATTTTTTACAAAATTAAAAATATAAAAAAGGTTTAACGAAATGGTAAAATTTTATTTTAACCCTTGAACTTCATATAAAATTTTAATTATAGACTTTTTTTGCAAATTTAAAATAGTTTAAGGTTAAATTTATAATTTAACATTCGTAGAATTTTTATTATTCAATTACAGAAAAATGATATTTTTGAAGAAAAAAAATAAGGACATTTTAGTCCAAAACGTTGGTAATGTTACAATACATAAGGGAATGAAGCTAATGACATTTCCGATAATATATCCCAATAAATCCACTATTGGTAATAAAACTTTACCGAGAATGACATTCCCGGCCAAACCAAACGAGGGAATCCCACGTTCCCCCATCCAATCGACCTCTAAGAGTTGAGTCTCTCGTCAATAATTTGATTTGGTTTAATATAAAATAAGTATTAAAATTATACTTAAAATTAATTTTTGATGTCTAAAGATTTTTTCGTTAAAAATAGATGTCTAAAATTTTCTCCGTTACACTTTATGGTGCCTACCGTTAAAAAAATCATTAAGTGACATGTGTCACGTTCAAATTTATTTAAAAAAAATTAAATGATATTTTATTTTTTAAATATGGACTTGACACGTGTCACTTAACGTTTTTTAGCGGTAGACACCTAAAAATATAACGTAGAAAACTTTAAACACTTATTTTTATCGGAAAAAATTTTAGGCAGTAAAACGTTTTCAATGCATTCTTTAGACACTTATTTTTGTATTAAGCCATTTGAATTCGATAATAATATGTTAATATTTATATAATTCCATTCAGATCGAGATCTTAATGAGTTAAGTCGAATAAAATCTAAATTGACTTGATAAGTTCGCGAACAACTTATTAGTTTTTATATAATTTCTAGTAATTATTTTAAAAAATTATTTCATTATTAAAAAATATTACTTTACTAGTAGATAATAAAAATGATAAATTGATAATCTATTAATTTTTTGATAAACAACAAAAAAAATACTAAATTATTAATTAATATTTTACAACACCAAAAAATAAACTTATTTAGACTTTGAAATTTATTGAATTTTTTCCTTAAAATTATTAATTTATGTTTATATTAAGTTCTATATAGTATTAATATATTTTAACTATAGTTAAGAAAATAAATTACAAATTATGGTGAGCTTAACGAGCAATAAGTCGAGAAACGAGTTTTTTTTAACGAGCACGGTTGAATAAAATTTCAATATGCTTAACGAGCAATGAATCGAGTTGAGTAACAATTTTTTTTAACTAGCATGAATCAAACACTGTCTGGATCGCCTCACTTAATAAAAACCTCTAGCTGCACCACGAGATTTATGCATTTTTATAGGATAAATTATTAAAATAGTCATTTTAATTTTAATTATTAATTTAAAAAATATTTTTTATCACAAATGTTATGAGTTTATAATGTTTTAATCATTAAAATGTTAATTGTCTTATTTCATGATATGATACATTAATAAAAAAGAATTATTTTTGATCAAGCCTCTAAATTTTGAATAAAATTTTAATTTAACTTTTAAATTTTGGATAAAATATTAACTAGACCTTAAAATTTTTAGGTGAAATATCTATTTAATTAATTTATAATTACAATATTTGAACTCGAGATTTTAAGAAATAATAATAATTTTTTACCTCACAGATCGCTTGATTTATGCTAAAATTCAACCGATTTAGATTTCATACATCAACTTACATATATTTATTTATGTACTACAATTTTTTCAGATTATTTTCCAACAAACCAAACATTAGTTCAAGAGAATTCCCAAGCAAATTTGGACTAAATTTTCCACTTCCAGTTGATTAATAAGTCCATTCCCGATTAGGGTCGTAAATGAGATAAGACAAATCACGAGCTATTAGAGATCGACTCGGTCAAGGCTCAATAAATACTCGGATTGAATGGACTCGACTCTTAACGAGCCGAAACGAGCTACTTGATACTCGACTTAAAAAACTCGTGAACAGCTCGAAAATATAATATATCAATATATTATTTTTTAAAATAATAAATTATTAATAATATTAACATTTATGTATTGATTTTTTTTAAAACACAGTAAGACTTTCATATATTTAAAGTTCATGTTAGAGTTTGAGGCTTTAATCTAGTTAAGTTTAAGATTTTTTTTTTCATTTTGAGCATTTTCGAGCTGCTCACGAGCTTCAGTTCAGGATTTTGAATTCAAGTTGAGCTTAAAAATTTTAAGCTCGCGAGTTTTCGAGTCGAGTTCAACAATACTCGAACTCAACTCGGCTCGTTTACACCCCTATTCCCTATACATATTTCACCCTCCCACTTCTCTACACTTTCTATTTTCTTGACTCGAGTTTGATTTTCTTCTAGGTATTAAAGTAACTAGAAAATTGAAACAAACAAAATTTAGGATTTGAACCTTTAAATTTTTGGTTAAATTACACAAATGATCCCCAATTAGAGGGTACTCTTTTATTAAGTCCCTCGATAATTGAAAGTTACAAAATGATCATTTGACTATAGAATGTTGCTTTATTAAGTCCCTCAACTATTAAAAGTTACAAAATAATCACTCGACTATTCATTATGTTCCAAACTCATCATTTTCCGTTAAAAATTGATGGTTGTCAAAGATGAATATTAACATGATGACTGAGATATGATAACCATTTGAGATTCTAAGATCAAATTTTATCATATCACAGTCAATCGGTTAATGTTTAAATCATATCATCATCAATTTTTTAACAAAAAATGACAAATTTAGAGTATAATGAATAGTCGGATAACCATTTTACAACTTTTTATAGTCAAGGGACTTAATAAAGAACACTCTATAGTAAGAAGATCAATTTGTAACTTTTTATAATCGAGGGACTGAATAAAGCAATACCTTATAGTCGAAGACCATTTGTGTACTTTACCCTAAAAATTATAAAGAAAAATGAAAAGAAATCCATTACTTACCATAATTTGATGCTATGGAACTGTTTGTATGATTGAATTTGAGATTTAATGCTAAAACAACCTTTGCCGGTAGTAACAATTGCAACAGTCTCCAAATCAGAGGATAGATTTAAGTAGTAATTGTGAACACATTCTAAATCCTGTCGTGTTTATGAATATCATATATTACAATTCGAATCGATTTTTTATTCTTCAATCTTCTTCGTCCCTACTAATTTTCGATTTTTCGAGTTTTCTTCGTTTAACATTACCACATGATAAGAAAACACTAATTCTAATATGCTATCAAACCATACACTACGATTTAGATTGATTTTCAAGTTTTTGTGTTTCTTTCTCAAACTCTACTAATTCTTACCCGATTTCTTGTGAGACCGAGAAGGTTTGTCGTCGTATTTACGGGGAATGAAAACGCCGGTTCCGGCCGACTCTCTCTTAGGTCCACCGAGGAACATCAAAATCAGAGGCGGTGGTTGAAATCGAACTTGAAATAAAGGCCTTTTACCAACAATATTGCTCTTTAATCTATTCTTCTTCATCTGCTGCTGTTGAGTTCTTGCATTCATCTGCCATCCATGATACTAATAAAACCAAATAAACAAACACCAAAGTTAACCAAATCCAGCTCAATTGGTAGAGTACAAGGTTCTTAACCTTGAGGTCGTGGGATCGAGTCTCATGGATGACGTTTCATAATTCGAAGGTCTCCTACGGAAGCTGCTCTAAACTTAGTGTTGGGGGCAGCCTACTATCTTATCTCCCCTTATCCCATTACATATAGGAACAAGGGACAACCATTAATTTGGTATTTTTAAGTTATTTTTGTTAATTTAAATATAAAATATTACTTTTTACATGGTAAAATTTCGATTCAAATTTAATAAAAATCAAGTCCATATCATGATTCATATTGAATTTTCACTTTCGTTTTTCAAATTATATATTTATATCTAAAATCATTGATATGATAATCATTAACTTTTAAATTAAAGGCGAATAAAATTCAACTTAAAAATTACTGATTTAGTTTGTAATTCATAAATTTAATTCAATTCGACTAAAAAATAAATAAAACTTAAGTTAAAAAATAAGATTCAAATAACTCAAAAACAAAAAAGTGTTGGAACTTTTAGACACTAATTCTTCAAGAAAGAATGAAGGCTTACATGATTTGTTTGAGCAATAGTAGAAGAAATGATCCGGTTTAAAGGCAATCCACAGCTTGGGTTCTTCACGAACCCATGATTTTGAATCTTGGGTTGGTTTTTTCCATGTTTGAAGATGGTGTTTTTGGGCACGTCCTTGCTCATTTTCATCTCTGCAACTCGAGAACCGCCATTGCTTGAAGCTGAAGAGTTTCCGAGCACATTCAGAGTCGACTCTGGTGAACCCGCCGAACCTCCATTTTCCTACCGAAAAGAGAAAGCACAAATTTAAAAATTCGCATTAAAAATCAAAAACCCAGAAATTACTTTGGGTCACCTCGTTTTTGTCGAGAGGAAGATCACGAACGGCGAGTTTCTGACTGGTTGAGTGAACAATTCGGCGGGTCAATCCAGCAAGAAACTCATCCTCCTCGTCACTTCTCTCAGTCTCAGTAGACTCAACAACAGATTCAACAGGAATGGAGCTAATAGCAGAGAACGAGTCGTATGGATAATCAAACTCGAAGGGGAACTCAATAGGGAAACCGTGACTCGATGTTAACGACTCAGTGTTGTTTTCGCCATCGTTTTTGTTCTTAAGATTCTGGTCCTCCATTAGAGTATCATCGTCCATGAAAATCATGGATGGAAGCCAAAACTCAGCGTCTTCTATGTGCTCAGCCATGAAAAAAGAAAACAGGGGAAATGAAAAGGAAGAAAGAGGGTGGAAATTATAAGAGAAAATGGAGGGGAAAGCAGTTTGCTTCGCGGTGAAGAATTCTAATTTACGGAAGCTGCTTCGGTTTTAGGGTAAACTACAAACTAATCACCAACATATTGTCTCTCTACTATTTTGATCATCAAACTTTCCTTTTTACAAAAATATCACTAATGTTATATATTTTTATTTAATTATCAGCCTTTAAACTTTTAAAAATAGGGTAAACTATGTGTTTAGTACATAAAATATCAACTTTACCCTATCAAAACAGTATGTAACGTTTAATTTTTATTTTATTTTAGTACCCTATTAAAAACTTATCATTAATTTTTTTTAAAAATTGAAGGTTTAGATACTAAAAAAAAATCAAAACTAATAGTTTAGGTATTAAACGTGTTAATTTTTTAATGACGGGATACTAAAATAAAATAAAAACTAAACGTCAGGTATGATTTTGAAAAAAAATAAAAGTTTAAGTACTAAAACGGACTAAAACTAATAGTTCAGGTACTTATGCGTAATTTACCCTTGACAATAATACTTGTTTGGTATTTATTATTATTGTTTTTAAAATTTTCACGTTATTTTTTCCTTTTTTATTAACGGTTCAAATATTATTTTTAATTTTTTATTATTTTTCATGTCATATTTTATTATTTTCGACATATGGCACCTACTATTTAAAATATAATTACAAGGTCTGTACAGCTATTTCTATTCTTATTATTTCTTTGTATCACAACAATTTTAAATTTATATATATATATATATATATACATTTGAAATAATATTTTTAAGAAAATATATCAAATTTAATATATTAATAAATCTAGATTATATTATATTATATATATAAGTGATATTTACCATCGACAACAATAATAAATTCTCATATTATGAGTTTCGTATAGATAAATAACTAGTCATGAAATATGTTTTATATCATTGAGTTAGACATCAAATTCAATTTATATACCAACAATCTGTTGATCTAGTTGGACGAGGAATTAGATTTTTTTAAGGTCTGTTGATCTAGTTGGACGAGGAATTAGATTTTTTTAAGCAAGGTCAGGAGTTCGAACCCTGACGTTTGAGAATTGACTAAATTGGATTGGGAGGGTCACCCTCGCCTCTACAATATCTGATTTGGATTAGTCGATCAAGAGATCGGGATACCAGTGATTAATTCAAAAAAAAATTCAATTTGATATAATTTTTTATTAGGTTCAAAAAGGTCTAAAAATTCTTGGGTAAACTATGCATTTAATACTTAAACTATCAGTTTTGGTCTGTTTTAGTACTTAAACTTTTAAATTTTTCAAAACCATATATAATGTTTAGTTTTTGTTTTATTTTAGTACCTCGCCGTTAAAAACTTCACGCATTTAGTACTTAAACTATCAGCTTTGGTGTCATAATACTTAAATTTTCAATTTTTTTAAAACTTAACGTTAAATTTTGAACTATGGTACTAAAATGGATCAAAACTGATAGTTTAGATACTAAACACGTAATATACCCAAAATTCTTTAAAGACAAGTGATTGAACTCTTGAAAATTTTACATTCAATTAAGCCTCTATTATTAATAAAAATAAAATAAGTTCTTTCATTAATGATTTTTATCGTTGACCAATTTTAATTATAACTCGTGATAGATTTAAAATCATTATATCGGAAACTATTAAAATAATAATAATAATTATTATTATTAAAATTTTATTAAAGGTATATATCCATAAATTGGAGGTAAGAGGGGCCTTTATGCATGGTTAGGATGTCATGGCCATTGGCCGAACATCAACCCAACGGGGTTGATTATTTTTCTTCACACCAATATAGGTTAACTTTTTTTTTAAATATTATGGTGGAAAATATATATTTGAAAATAGATGTATAATTAAATAATATTCAAGATATTTTAGCTTGAGTGAAATGTTATTTCAATTAATTTTTTGTTAAAAATGTATAATTAAATAATATTTTTAAAACTGTTAATATATATCGAATCATTATTTAAAAATTAGGTAAACCATACGCCCTGAGTTTATCAAACGATCTCAATGGTTAAAGGACTTGTTATTATCTCTGGAGGTTCTGGTTCGAGCATCGCATATGTCAGGGGTATGAACGTTCATTGTTAAATGATTGAGAGCATTTGAACAAATACCGCCTTGTATACACCCCATATTTACATAAAGAAAAGGATAAACTATACTGATGGTCTCTTTTATTTTTTTGTCTTATTTTCATCATCAATTTTTAAAAAATGACGTTTTGGTCACTTACATTTTCAGTTCATTATATTTTTGTCATTAGATCGTTAAATCCCATTAGTTTGATGTTCTGATATATTAGTGAATGATTAAGGTTTAACTTGACCCACAAATTTTAGATAAAATATTAATTTAACTTCTGAATTATAGATAAACTGTGGATTAATCCCTAAATCCAATCAAATATAATATTATCAATAAATAGGTCGAAAATTTAAAGTAAGTGACTATATGTGGACACATGTCATGTTTTTTTTCTTTAAACACTTAAATACATATTAATTAACAATTAAGAGTGAGGTACCTGTTAAGAAAGTACTTAATTTATTGCTAAAGTAATTAAGTATAGATACTGCCAAAGTGATAAAAATAAAAATAAATTGGTTCAAAATTTGAAGTAATTATATGGTGTTGACACATGGCATGCTTTTTCGTTAAATACATATTAATTAACAATTAAAAGAAAGGTGCCTATTTTTTTATTATTTATTTATTTGAAAATATAGAAATATACTTACACCAATATAATTATATGTTTATTGTTAGGTACTAAGATATTGGGAGATGTACATACTTACATCGGTGTAAGCATGCGTTAAGTGTTGTTCTTTTTTTATTTTATTTACTTACACCAGTGTAACTATGCGTTAAATGCTATATATTTTTTTATTTTATTCACTTATACTGATGTAGTATGTGTTAATTGTTATACTTGTTTATTTTATTCACTTACACCGATGTAAATATGTGTTAAGTGCTATACTTTTTGTAGTACAAATTATGAAAAAATTTGACAAAAAATTATAATAGGTTAATCGTAGGTTAATTTATAACCGAATTGTTAATAACGATTAATCATTAGTGGTGAACCATTTCTTAATAGTTAAATTATAATTAAAAAAATATGATAACTATTATAATAATTAACCGACCGTTTAGGCTAAACGGTATAATTAACCGTCCATGAACGGCCATAGTAGCTGCAGCATTTGTGGAGCGCGGCACGAATCGTTGTCGCATATTTTCCGTGACTGCTTGGTTGCGAGATCCACTTGGCTTGCATTGATAAAAAAAAAAAAAAAGGAGAGGCGCACAGAATTCTTTTCTATTCCTTTAGGCGATTGGATTCGGAGCAATATTCATCAATCTTGTAGCCTTCGGTTGATTACGCAAAGAATATTTAGAACAAATAATACATAATAAAAAAATATATATTATTTAGTTTCTCTAATTTTTTTTTGTGGTGTCTAATTTATATTTTTTTGTTTCATTTTTTTTGTGGTTACATTAATTTTGATGTTGGTTATCGATCGTCGGTATTTTTTATTATTCTTACATCCTTTTATATTATATCTATATTTTTTATTATTTTTATTTTTTAATAAATATACCTTTATGACATGTTTTTATGTGTCTTTTGACACGTTTTCGGTCGTTTGACCATCGTTATTTTTTTTAAGGGTTGATTCGACATTGTCACAACTGATTAAGATGACGTTTATATGTTATCATGATGATCTTTCCTACTTTGGACCATCGAATTGGATTTGGATACTTGATTTACGTTCGTGGATGATTTTTGTCCACATTGCTCGACTCTGATTTACGATTTTATCGGTGATCTTTCAATAGCTTGATTCTCTTTTGAGATTTGTTTACCGATGAAATCAGGTCTATTTGTATCTATCATTGTTCGAGTTTTGGTTGATTTTTTAATCTTTACTTGTATGGTCCTTATGTGGTCTTAATTTACTAATTTTGTGCCAATGATTTTAGGAAAATATTATAATTATTCGCTTAATTTACAATTACGATTATAAATCTCTATTGTAATTCGAAATATTTCCCTTTTTAATAAAATTAGTTACATCTATTAAAAAAATTATAACTAGAGTCGATTTATTAGCATAAAATCTTCTAAACTGACAAATTTACTTAATGATGACACAATCATAATCATATATATTGCATTGAATAACTAAAATCTCACCGTAGTTAAATTCTAAATGTATAATATATAGTTGATGATAAGCTTATGGAATTATTTAAAACTAAGATCAAATAGATAATAGGTTAGTGTTAATGAAATGCCATTTAGTTGATGGCAATTAGGCCTTGTTGTGATTGCATAAACTCTCCTTTTTACTCAAAATTCCGGGTTAATCTGTACCGATATACTACAAAATCAATCTTGGAGAGAGTAAAAGATATGATGGTCGATTGGGATAAGAGAAAATATGTAGCAGAAAGAGCTTTGCTTGAAGCAATGATTCTCGGGTTTGATGCAAACTGCATCGGATACGAGCAAAATCCATTACAACAAGGTTTGAACTTCGAACCCTTTTTTCGAAAATGTCCGGTTTTGCCGAAAACTACTTCATTTCGGTTCCGAGTGTTATCGAAACTATACCTTATTTCAAACTTTCAGGCATACAACATCGTGGGACGAATTGACGATTTGCTATATGTAGATGACTTAGACGAAGAATTCCGAAAAGTTGTCATCGGATCATACGCACTACAATTAGTGTAAGCATGTGCAAATAGGTTTCAATCCCATATTGCATGCAAAAGGGGTGAAGAAACTCATTTTCTCAAGCAGAGCACCAGCCCTGCAAACTTTTCACCGGCTGCAGCGATCACCAGACCGAGCTTTTCACCGGCTGCGACGTGGATCAGCCATGCAAGGGGTGAAACAACCCCTTTTTCTACTAGAAGATCAGCAATGGCAACAAGCCTCA